GGGGGGGGGCGATATTCCAAGGAATATCGCCCCCGGGGGAGAATATCCTAGGAATATCGCCTCCCAGGGGGGTGGGGCGAATACCCTAGGAGTATCGCCCCTCTTTAGGATATTCGCCCCCCATATATGCGATGTGGTTTATTCTAATAATTTCGTGATACTTTCATCTTATTAGTGATACTTTCACCTTACACGTTTGAGAATTTAACTCTGCAAAACTAAAGCTTTTTTGTCTTTTTTGAAACGTATTATTGGAGTATTTTACCATTCAGAGATTTCCGATCCAAACTAATATTGAAACTGTAAAAAACAGTTTCATGTATACGCGCATTCAGTAATGAGTAATGACAACTTATAAGCCATGCATTTTCCAATAACGACAAAACGCTTGTGTAGCCTTTAGTCGCTCTTAGTGACTAATATATAATTTTTTTGAGGGGGGGGTCAAAAAATAATTGGGGGGGGGGCATTTGCATCTTTGCTCCCCTTGCCCCTCCTGGTAAAGGGCAACGGAGGCGGCTGCCCCTCCTGCCCCCCCCCCAGTTCCGGCGTCCCTGAGTGTTAGAATAGCCAACTTGCAAAAATCTAGGCAAAAAAGTAAATTCCCGTAAAAAACTTATTAAAAATAGTAAAATTGCGAAATTTGGTTACGAAATGTTATAAAATACGAAAAATATAGCCTTGCGACGTTTGCATATTTTGTATATGTTTGTATTACGTGCGGAAATTGTTAATACCATTTTTGGGCCAAAAATGGTAACAATTTTCGCACGTAGTACGAACATATACAAAATGTGCAAACTTTGCAAGGCTATATTTTCAGTATTTTACAACATCTTGCAACCAAATTTCGCATATTTACTAATTTCATTATTTTTTTAGCTGTGGTGTTTGATTCCTTTCTCTTTTACTTAGATTAAAATTTAGTCTAACATCAAGTTGTCCATTATTTTTCCTGCGTACAGGTGGCCAGAATGGGTTAGGATAGGGCCGAATTAGGGTGTGAGAACGGTTGTTCCAATCTTATAATGTTCCACATATGCATGGGTGTAATACGGACTATGTCGGACCAATAGACGTGCTGCATTGAGTTTCGGTGTTAGATAAAATATCCAGGGTGCCTAATATAATAATGCCTGAATCTTAGAAATTCACATCCTTGACTGTTACTTTGTATACAGCATAGTATTGATCAATACTTTTAATAATTAATAGGTTATCGCATCCTTTAATTTATATTATTTCAAAGGTAGTCTTAATCCTAGCAATTCACCTCCAGATAACGCAAACAACTGTAGGGGTCCAATAAACCAATAATTCTCTAGAATACAATATGTGGTATTGTCGTTTAAAGTACAGTGAATTGGTGATGTTTTATGATTACTAATGGTAGCCCCACTTTCTGCCCCTATCTTTTTTACCAGCCCCCCATTTAGTAGTTTATGATTTTTCGTGGTCTCTCGAAATATCTTCTGCCCCCGCCCCTAAGCATTAATAATGACTCCTGCCTAAGTAATTGTCTCGAACATTTTAATAAAACGTGCACTCGTGACGGTTTCAAAGGCCTCATAACACTTGTCATATTTTGAAGCTTTCGAAAAGCTCTTCCATGTCAGTTTATTTAAATTGCACTCGAAAACATCTCTCTGTATTAGGGAAGCCTCACGTATCGATTTTGTCCATGAGAAACGTATCATCTTCTGCTGACATATCTTTTTTATTAATACATGTGAACTTCAAAATTTCCAACGTTTCTCAAAACAACTTTTTTTGGATGAAATATTGATAATTTTAGCGCGTTTTTCTTGAAATTTGAGTGTTTTCAATGCAAGGAAGGCGTAATGATATAATGTATATACAGTACGTATAGAACAGGTATGGTATTACGAATGTATGGACTGATGTTTGTATCAAGTTGTTTTCTTTTCTATATTCTGTAAAGACTATTCCGAAATGTTAAGGCTTCTGAAAAAACTGTCGAATTTTTCCATGATGTTTACACAGAAATGTCACAGCTGCAACTGTTTCTCACGTTTCTCGTGGGAAAAATCGATATGCGAGGCTTCCCTTACCTATACCTCATTGTATTGCTTGTAGTTGTATATTACCAAGACAACGATACGCTGTGCTGGTTTTCTTTTGGTTGCGAATAATCACTCAGTTAATTTGAGAATGACTGTTGTTAAAACTGTTAAGTGTTTGGAGATTAGTCGCAGGGCCAAGAATAATTTCCCCTGAGGTCCCTAATGGTCGTAACGGTCGTAAAGATTGAGTCACGACTTTTCTCATGAGCCGAAATACAACAATTGCAACTGAAAATACGCGGAATGGTAATCTTTCCCTTCTCGATGGCAGTGTGCCAGTGATTAACTGTTTTTCATGCAAGTTCCACTCACCTACATCATTCAATGTTGTGTAAGATCTTGTATTATGTTTAACATGTTTTAATATTTTGTCTGACTTGATCGAGCTGTGCCTGTGCGAAATAGAGCGCTTTCAATTAACTGAAACAATACAGCATACTTGACTCTTGAGTGATAACGACAAAATCGGCAGTATGCAGGAATCTAAGATATTTGTCGAAAGAGACATTAAACAACGAAAAACGGCATTGTTGTATGTTGATTATCTTCGCTTGACTCTTGAGCTTCCAAGTCAAACTTGATTGGTTGAAAATATTAAAAACACTGACAATTTCTAGTCGTGCTCGTTTAAACGTAAACAAACGTTTGAACATTCCTTAGCTTACAGTATCTGCATGACGTCTAAAGTTAAAAATGATTTGATTGAGATGTAAACCGTTAGCTATTTAAATACTTGTGTATTTGAACATAGTAGTTTCAATTTATACTTCACTCCTGCCATTAATGATGGCTTTAAAGTCACCAAATAACCTAAATCCAGAATAAACTGATTTCTATTTTTAAGATTATCAAAATATAACAACATGTTAATTAATTTTACAAGAATTATTAGCATAAGAATTGAATTGCAGTAAACACAATAGAAGAAACAGCCTGCTGTATGCCTTGTGTATTGCGAGTGAAAATACTGAAAATGAAACCAGATTTGTATGTGTCAAAGCATATACGTTAGATGGGGAAATCACAGTCGAGGCAACCGACATCTGAAGTGAAAGATGGAAATTATGTTCGTTTCGCCTTAGTAGGGTCAAGTGGTTGTGGGAAGTCGGCTTTTGTCAACGCTGTTAGAGGGTATAGTCAAATTTTAATTTTTGAGCATGCCAGAGTCTCCATGAGCTAGCGTTTCGTTAACTCTAATCGCTCCAAGCATCATCGCTCAGTCAAACAAGACGAACTCGCAAGACTTTAGAGTTGAACGAGAGTTTGGCGAACGAGCGTTTCCACGAATATCATGCAGTCGCTATGTTACTGGATCGGTCAATTTTTGTGTCATATAACATAGATATGGCTATATATTTTGATGGGTACGTGTATACGCAAATAACTTTACTGTGTATCCACGTACCTTTTTCCACCAAAACACATGGTTAGCTACACAATAGGTATGGCCACACTTTAACGTTTACAGGGAAGCATGAAATGTGAGTGTATGACATAATTCGATCAAACGATAACAAGAGTTGCACTCACCCACTATAAGTTTGTTAAATAAGCTGATGTTAGTTCAAGATTGAATTAGTCATGATCATGGAATATACGTACTGTAGCTCTCTTTCTCTCTCTCTCTCTCTATATATATATATATATATATATATGTATATCGCACTGCCAGAGGAATGTTCATTATTGTGCTGTTTCAGTTGTGGAATGTTCTGGATAATATGTAAGCAAAAAGGTAGCAACTCAATAGTTTTTTATATACGAACATTCAGGAACACACCGTTGGTTATATAATAAATATAACCAGAGAGATGTGAGGCATGATACAGCGAGCCTGAGCGCAATTGTTATACGGTCGATTTCGCATAACGTCTACCAAAATATTCGCAAGTTCGTTGCAAATTTCAGAAGGTCATGCTGATATTCTCAGGCCATGTAAACAAAGCCTTAATTTGATTAGTCCTCTATAAATTGAAAAGAAGACTTTACAAACTGGTTTGATGCACGTTTGAACTCCGCAACGAACATGCGAACTTCGGTACTGTATACTGCTAGTTATATGTAAAATCGACTGCAATAACCCCAGCATTTGGATAATATTGACCGTTAGTATAAATTCAGTATTGAAAATTGGCTTTCAAGCGTTCTGATCAGATTGGTTCCCTCAGCTGTAACTGTATACTCTTAGTCTGTCTGAGACAATAATCAGACTGCTCTGAGCAGTATATCTATCTATATCTATCTATCTATATCTATCTATATATACAGGGTGTATAAAAAAAAGTAAGACAATTTTGAAATTGCTCTCAATTCCACAATTCTGTTCATGAAATGAAATTTTTGCTATATATGGATTGCTTGAGTTCTTAAATTGTAGAAAATATAAAAAAATTTGAAAATAGTAAATTTTGCGATCCAGGGGGGTGGTCAACTTTTGCTCCCCTAAAAGTGGCTTGCGCACGGAAATGACAAACGGTATTCTTTATTTGAGTTCATGTATATGAAAAGTTCGCTATTTTTTGCATTTATGATAAAATTTCGGCAGGATATTACCGAGTACAAATCCACCGAAAAACCTATGAAAACGTCACATTTTTCTCCGTTGGTGCTGTTCTTGCTTCATTTTGAATTCATTTTTACTCCCATGAGAGTTCCATGGGATTTCCATGGAATGTGTGCTTTCGAGTTGTTTGTGCTAAAACGCATTTTCTTGTATAATACCCCGTACACTTTGAAATGGCGATGCCACAATTTACCTATCTTGGACTTATTTTTAATGTACCCTGGCAGATCGTCTATATAAACCAGGAACAAGAGTGGCCTTAGAATCGAACCTTGTGGGACACCAGAATAAACTTAAAGACTTTCGGAATATAGTCCTTGCAGAGTAACTCGTTGGTGTCTTCCTGAGAGGTAACATTTAATCAAAGTAATAAGTCGCCTGTTATGCTGAAGAGAGGTAATTTTCTGATAAGAGAAGAGTGCGGCACTTTATCAAAAGCTTTGCTAAAGTCCAAATAGATTATGTCCGTAGTTCTTTACCTCTGCCAAGCCTTCAATGGTATCTTGATAAATCGCAAGAAGTTGAGTAACGGTAGATCTTCCTTTCAAGAAGCCATGTTGCATGCATACGATACAATTGGGGAGATATGTGGGCAAGACAGTGATTGTGAACACACCTTTCCAACGTTTTTGAGAGGAGACTTAATGGAGAAATAGGTCTGTAAATTGTTAACTAGTGATGAGTTAACTAGTGATAGTTACAATACTGAATTTATACTAAAACAATTAGTCACCTCAGGCTTTATAATCACAAGGCTATGTTCACTTCGCAGAGTCCGTGAATGTAGGCTGGTAATCACCTCGCCTTCGGTGACTAATTCTTAATTAGCGTAGTTTCAGTAGCGACCAGAATTAATGCTGCATGGGTTTGCATGACGGATAATCCAAGTGAGCATATATATACTCTACGATTATCCACCAAACCTAGCATTCTAGTTCAGCCAAGTAAGGTGCAAATCACATGTTTCATGTTACACCGTATCACAACCCGCACAGCCAAAAATCTAGCCTAAACTCTAGCGAGTCATTGACAAAACATGTTCGGGCAACTTGAAAAAACATTGTCAAAAATAATAAAATACCATAGCACAGATATACTTTAGAGGATCCGTGGATATGCAGTCAAGTTCACTGTGCTATGGTATTTTATAATAAATAGACGGTGCAATAGGTTTTCAGTGAAAATATAATGAAGACATGGTGTCATATACAGCAACATTGCTTAGGGGGCGGGCGTATATATTTGGCTATTTATAGGAATCTTGAATAACAGTATGCATCGTTGATTCGCCCAGTCAGTTATAGACTTATAGTCAGCGAACTGTAATAACACTGGTTATAATACACAAATAATTAATGTTCATTAATGCAATGGTGAAAAATTCAGTTATATAATACGAACATAATATATGCTCATTAGTGCAACGGTAAAACAATTTCATGAGGTGAAAGATGGAATTTTTGGAGACCGACCATCCTAAAAGTTTATTGCGCTTCAGGGTGGCCACGTCACATAAGGGACCGGTAATTAAAAATGGGAGGGGGGGGAGGGGCGGTAGATGATAAATACCAAATATTGAACATTTTCTAGAGCCGTCCCAATCGCAAGACCTTAATTTTCAAGACATCTTCACCTTCATCTAGAAAATTTAGCCCCCCCCCCAGCATATTAACAATTGTCGGACTCCTTTGGTGAACTGCATATACGTAATAAACTATGAAAACTGCGATTACAGGAACTAAAGAAGGTGAAATATTTTTGGGGATACGATAAAGGCGAGAGATTGAAAATCAGCAGGAAAATATTTAAAAATTGGGGTCCCCCCTCGTCACATATTATTCAGTTTGAGGCCGCCCCCAATTCAGGGAAATATAGTCAGCCAATTCTATCTGAGGCAGTTTTAAATAAAACGTTCAACAGGGGCGTAGGAAGAATCAAAAGATTGGGAGGCACCGGCTTCCAGGGGCACTTTCGGACATTGAAAAAGGCACCTAAAAATTTTTCTCAGAAATGTTGGCGACGGGGGGGGGATTTTCCCGTCATACACACAGAAATTGCACGTTTGCGGCCAAATTTATTTTAAAAACATCGAAATTTCCAAACAGAAAGGGCACCTTTGATGTTAATTTAGTATTTGCAGCGACATTAGCTTGAACAAAAAAGGAACTTTTCATCACAAAAAAGGGCACTTTTAGTTCTTTGAAAAAATCGGGGGTGGGGGGGTACGTGCCCTCTGCCCCCCCCCCCCAATAAAAACGTAAAACGATCAATCTCGTTCCCGAGCTTGGGATTTGTTTGGTTGAACGTTGAGATGGTCAAATTTTATGCAATACACAGTCTTGTAGTCCACGACAATCATGCAGTCTGTAAGTATACAATAAGTAGTATATTTTTACTTGTCTTGTGTAGCGTTGACGATGAAGACGAACTTGCAGCGAGCGTTGACGTTGTTCAAACAGAGCAACAGCCCACCGAATACACTTATCCATCAAATCCACAAGTCATTTTCTGGGATCTACCCGGTTTTGGTACACCCAGCTATCCTGATGTTGAAACCTACTGGAGAAAACTTGAATTGGAAAAGTTTGATATATTTCTTATCTTTATTTCACTGCGAGTAACAGAACATGATCTCGCAGTAGTAAAGAAAGTTAAATCTTTGAACAAATCATTCTTTCTCATTCGTACCAAGATTGATGAAGATGTCGAATGCATGAAGAGGAAACTGAAAAATCGGTTCAAAGAAAAAAAGATGCTGTTGGAAATTAGAAATTATATACTGAACCAGACAGGTCATTTGTTATGCGCTGAAAAAGACGTATTCATTATCAGTAACTACGAGCCACGCAAGTGGGAGTTCTTTCCATTAATCGAAGCCATAATCAACACAATGCCCGTTCCTGAAATTGGTGAGTATAGCAAACTCTTTATATGATGGGGTGATGGCCCTATCGTTAGGTGTTTTAAAAATTAATCATATATTAGTTTAAAAGCCGCTACTTGTTTTAAAAATTACAATAATGTTCACTATCTTTATGATATCGCTTGGCTAAGACACCAGCTCTTTCGCCGCAGGGGAAGCTGCCCTAGGCTCAGATTCCAGCCGTTGTGTTCTCGCCACTCGCCCACTTAACGGCTGGGTCAATGGTTAATATTTCTTGTCTGTGACGTCAAGGTTAATATTTAAATTTATGCATATATTTTGCATAATTATGCATTTCTGTGCAATGTACTGGTAAAATGGCGGCTGTCAGGAGCGAACAATTTTGTTTCGAAGAGGAAATAGCAAATTTTAACAACTTTGTGCATTCATCGATAACTTTTTTGTAAAGGAAAACAAAATGGAAACTTTTAAGTTCATTTGACAAAATGTTATTAAGTTCTAGTATGTTTTTAACGAAGAAAGGAACTGCAATGTACACGAGTAAATGAATATATTATATATCTAAATAGTGAAACAATAAACCCTACCAACAAAAGCAGGTGAATCTGAATAATCAAACAAATAGTTTTTCAATGAATATTCTTTGAAGAGGAACATAAATTTAATGTTAATATTTATTTGAGTTGTTTATATAGACTATAGTTATACGTAATGCAATTTTACGCCTTGTGATTAATATCTAAAAATTTTCCTTATGATTTTGTTTGAGGGACAGTGAAGGAACTAAGTCTTTTATAGACCAAACAAGTCTGTCAAACAAGTCTGTCCCCCATGCCAGGATAATTTTGGTGTTAACATTTTGATATTTTCTAACTAAAGTGTTACTGCAACAAATTTTCTGAACCCTTGTTTATTTGCTTAATTAAATATTCAATCTTTCAGAACTAGCAATTTATCATGCTTTGTCATTCTCAGTCTGGCTTTTATATGAACAGCCGTTAAAAACAACACTGACATGACAACTATCCTTTTCTTAATACCATACTGACAAGGTTTCCAAAACTCAGCCTGAGAGCAAACATATTTGAGCTTGTTGAACAGACTAAATGCATATTTCACTGATGTCTGAATTTATAAAACATTGCATACTTTTATTCCATAAACCCTCTACTTAGGCTATCCAACAAGTCCCATTCTTTACCCCTTCACAACAAAGAAACACATGATACCAATGGACGACTTGCGCTTTAGAAAAATTTTTAATCTGGGAATAACAAAGGATATTTTTGGAAAGAAGTTATCAAAATTAGAAAAACTGTAAAGTTTGGTTGCGAAATGTTGTAAAATACGGAAAATATAGCCCTGCGAAGTTGGGAAATTTGTATACATTTCTACTACGTGCGGAAATTGGTAACTAATTTAGTTACCAATTCACGCACGTAATACAAAAGTATACAAATTTGCCAACTTTGAAGGGCTATATTTTTCGTATTTTACAACATTTCGCAACCAAACTTTGTAATATTACTAATTCCAAGACGTTCTTTCTAGCTGTGGTGATAGATTTTGTTGTTCGTGCTTAGATTAAAATTTAGTCTAAAGCGCAAGTCGTCAATAGGATTTATTTATTGCCCTTCAAATAACTATGTGCCAACATTTATTCAATTAGTATTCATGGTAAATCATATTGTCAATATATAAAATAATATTGAATTTATTGTGCTTGCCTGTAATTAGCATATATGAGCACACTGATATATCAGTTTCAGTTCACAACTTACCTGCCCAGTCTAACAAATATTGTCAAATGGCCCAAACTACACTGCAAAAAATCAATTTCTTGTTTTAAGAAAATATTACTTATTTTAAGCACAAAATTACTTGTTTTAAGAAAATTTTACTTGTCCCGTGGGTAAGTAATTATTCTAGGTAAGAATCAGATTTCAAGAAAATTTTTCTTAAAATAAGAAAATTAATCTTGGTTAGAACAAAATTCTTGGTTAGAACAAAATTCTTGGTAAGAAAATTTTTCTAATTTTGTCCCGTGGGTAAGTAAAATTTTCTTATCAAGAATATTTTTCTTATTTCAAGAAAACGTTCTAGCAAAATTTTCCTATTTCTAGAAAAAAATTCTTAGTTTCCCAAGAATTATTTTCTAGTAATAAGAAAATTTTGCTAGAACGTTTTCTTGAAATAAGAAAAATAATCTTAATAAGAAAATTTTACTTACCCATGGGACAAAATTAGAAAAATTGTCTTGAATTGAAATCCTGCTAGGAAAATTATTCTAGTTCGATCCGGTGTTCATGGCTTTTAAGAATATTTTTCTTAAATGACAATATTGAACCAGTATAATAATCTTGGCATGATTTTTTGCTGTTGTCCTCCTACAATATAACAACAATTAAGAATGTTTAAAATAATATATTTACCAGCTATACATGAATAGGTTATTACAGTAATTACTGATAGATAAATGTAAAAGTTCTCACACGTAGCAATATTGTTCAATTTCTTGAAAAGCCTTTACCATGTCAGACTGCTGAGTCTGGACGAGTGGATGGGTAGTCTTACGTCGAGCATGCAGGTACAGTAGAACAACGCCAGGAAGTAAACGATGGCTTTTACAGTTTCGCTATTCTGGAATGTTGCCAATAGCTCCATGTCATGATCAGCCCTGATACAGTATGTCAGCGGGCCTCATTTGTAGCCAGGTAGTCAAGTCTGTGTCTCCTTCCTTTTGAGGAAAAAAAGCACAAATTAAAATAGTTTTGGTAACAACTACACAACAATAATGAATTAACAGCTTATGTTTTCACTAACAAGCTATCCCCTGGGGTTATAGACATGCAGAGCAAAATACAATACACCCTTTTCATGAATGACTGCCGATTAAAAATTCTTTTATGTGCATATAAATTATTGGCCCAAATAGCCTCGTTTCTGGGTAGAAATTCCTTTGAAATCTTAACATGAGTACGAGGCTAGTTGGGCCAATTTATATGCACATAAAAGAATTTTTAATCGGCAGCCATTTATGAAAAGGGTGTATGATGGATGGAACAAGAGACACTCAGTCGGCAGTTTTTGTTAGCCCATATTAATTTATCTCAACCATATAGGAAAGCTCAAAACTAAGAAGATGTATATGTACACTAAATTTGATTCAGGCCTTACTAAATGAATTTTATAAAACGAAACTACAGTATAACCTCACCTCAACAAAGTTTATGATGTCCAGTTTGCTCTTAGCAGGTTGACTTTTTGATTTGAAGAGTGAATTAAATGTTCTTCATTAGGTGATCAGAAGTACTTTCTATAGAATTACATACATAAAAAATAATATTAATTAAGTTACATTTTTAATAAAAGCTTTGTGGTATTTTGAGAGCTAAACAATGCAATTTTGATTTTTCATATAATTTATTAGTTACCGGTACAGTATAAACCAAAATGCAATTTTCATTCATTATTTTCTATTAAGGACACCTAATGTCGGTGCTAATGAATCCAATGTTTGTACTGGTACTCTAATTAATCGAAAAACAAAATGATATGATTTAATTACCAGATCACTGTTCATGTGGTGGCTTCATAACTCCTTTTGAAATACCATAGTAAATAAGTGGGTCCAATTGGTCAATCAGCTGCTGATTTTCACAATTCCTCATGTATGCGCTTTCTTCTGCTTCTTCGGGTTGATTGAGGTTCCTTCAAACTTCTTCAACAACCTATTTGATGAGTGATGATGTAAATTTTTTGAAAATAACCGCATACTGTACCTTATTCCAGAGTTTTTATTACCATGATACTGTAGCTCATACACTTTACTCAATAGTCAGTGACCATATAACTTTACTATTTTGACCACTTGTCCTTAGGGCAAGTTCAATTTGCAAAGTTGGATAGGAAAATTAGTTGCCCTGAATAAAATTCACTTGCCATCAGACAATGGCCACTGGGGTGCCTACTGTAGGTAGGGGGTATAAATTAAGGGGACAACATGTCGACCCTTTCTTGCACTGCTCTAGATGCCTCAGATCTAGCTTTGGCCCACAAAAAAACAAAATTTGAATCCATGCACAAGTACAACATGGACTGCATAAAAAATTATCCAGCAATGAAAACATAAATTTAAAGATGCCCAGCTTTTTGTGGCAATGATATTCACTTCCCCAGGCAAGTGTTAAGTTAGAAGTTACAACTCTGTTACTTATTGAAAGCATGATATAACTTGGCATCCTTAACCAATTAACCACCATCACTCTCCCACTCACAAATAAAATTGTCTGGCATTAGACAGGAATACAATAAAGGGTGCGATGCAACTTCATGGGTTAAAATTCGAAATTTTGACTGTGGGACCATGATTTCTGGGACTCAAATCGACCATAGTGACTCAAATTTTCCCACGAAAAGAAATCGATAATTTATTTGTAATCATTCTGTTATGTAGGATAGAGTTTACAACATGAGAAAAAATTTTTGAACAGCCAAATCCATTAGATAGGTATAAAATGTAAGGTCCAAAACTAGCTGTACCAGTGTTGGTAGTACCAATGTGAAAATGCTGTGCTGAGTGGTTATATAAGCAGAAACTTGACGTTTCATGTGAAGGCCCTTCGTCAAGAGTCAGTAGCTACCAACTCTTGACGAAGGGCCTTCGCACAAAACGTCAAGTTTCTGCTTATTTTTTAAGGTAGTAATTATATAACCACTCAGCACATCATAAAATGTAAGGGCAATGTTGTTGGTATTTGTGATTTAATATGCTATTGTCTCATTCCAGAAAACATTCATATGGTTATGATTTAACCTCAGTTGTATTGGAGATACAAGTGAGGTTAAATCAAGTGCTACTTGTTTTAGTAACCCATTGAGTGATAGCACTGACAGGTAAAATCATCTGACATTAGACCGAGTAAAACAATAAAGTTGTGGCACAATGCGGCTTATGCAATGTCCGGCCTAGTGTAATATCCAGTTAACACCCCATCTCAGCGACCAGCCAAACTTCTCGAGAAGTATTCCTGTTTTAATGGGTTAACATGACCATGATGTGTCTGAATATTGTGCCATGATGTGCCCTATTGTTCTCTGTCTAGCGTCAGACCATTTACTCATCATGGCTAAGTGGAGAGTGCTGGACTGCTGGTGCCTAATTTATTAATGGCTTTTTTTTAAGATAATTCAATCTACTGTAACTTTGGATGCACATGTAAAAAGAATACTACCATAGTTAATAGTTTAGTAGTTTTATGCTGTTGTAAGCTTAGGCTGTTTTTACACTGTAAAGTCTGCAGTAAATATACAGTCATTTAGACCCATTTAATTATAAATTGACTATTTAATATGATCCCAGGCTAGACATTTGGCATGATCCAGCTTGCAATATGAACTCTATCGACTGTTTACAGTAAAGTGAATTATTCTACTTCTTTCTGGTCTAGACAGGATCTCATTAATTGTTGCCGGGATCACACCTGCCAGGACAAGAAATTCTCATACAAGCACTCTATCATCCCTGCGAGGCGGGGTGTATTCCGTCTATATAAACACACCATCCTGGGGCCAGTTGTTCAAAGCTGGGTTAGCTTAACCGTAGGTTAACCTAAAATTCAAAGCTAACTTCCTGACAGCTTGTCTATAAATTTGAAAATATTTTTTCAGAGATCTTGTCTGGATTGATAGGAGTTTTCTTCTCTGAAGTTTTGAAGTAAACAGACGTGCAGAAATACACAAACTAAAACAGCAGGTTAAATTTTAACCTAGGGTTAGCGTTAACCCACCTTTGAACAACCGGCCCCTGGATTAAAACCTCCTGTCCAGCCATGCCATTATCACATAAACAGGTACATATTGTTAAAAACCTGGCGTTAGACAAGTGAAAAAAAGTAGGGGCACATTCTGGCTGAATGGGTTAAATGCTTAATTTAAAATCAATCTATTTACATGCTAAAACCAAGAAATATGCACTGAATTGATAATCTGAATAATCAATTCTATATATTGGGCTAACAATTTTATGATTCAGATAGATAAGATTGCGATTTACTCAAGTTTAATACTCTCAAATAATGTTCATGTTTTGGCTTTAATACTGCGCTTGTAGCAATCAGCAATGTAGCATAAATATATTCATATTAACATATTGTTTTATATACTATGTGGGTTCAAACATGCTTTCTCGAGTTTTGTCAAACAAGTGAAACCTAGTATTTACTATGTTTTTATTCAAAATTTGAATTGTTGATTTTAACTAACATTT